ATAATAATAATAATAATAATAATAATAATAATAATAATAATAATAATCCGTGTTGTTAAAATACTGAAGTAAAAATATTTTTGATGAGATATCAAAAGCTGCAGAATGATGCAGTGAGATAAATAGATACACTGACGCAGCGGCATAATTGTATTGCGCGCCTCTTCCTCGAGATCATATGGTAGTAGCCCCTACTATGTACCGATGTACCACAGTTTTAAAGTTCTAAAACTTTCCGCTAGGGTTAGCTTCCCGTTCCGTTGGTCATTCTTTTACTTTGTGCCGATTAAGCCACACGCGTGTTTACGAGATTCCGAAGAAAATAGAAATAAGGAAAGTTAGAGACGGTTCTTCGAGTTCGGAAGACGGCGAGGAGGTACAGAAAGGAAACGATAGCGACGGTGAGGTAGCGTTCGTCGTTCTCATATGTGTACGGTGTCACTTACATACGTCACATATGTGTACGGTGCGAGGTTATGTGCCGAGTGACGACGAACGACGGCTACACGAAGCCGGACTGTTGTCGTCGTGACAATGGTTGACGCTGCACTTCCACGGCGTTTACGTACGTTCGTGGGAAACAGGTGAAGTGAAGGGAAGCGCGTCGTTGTTGCGAGTAATCGCGAGCACCGCGCGCGAGGTATCCTCTCGTCGTCGCCGTCGCCGCTGTGTCGTGATCATCACGACCATTACGGTCGTGCTCGTGGCTCACCGTCGTCATCCTCGGTGCCAAGGAGGCACCTGACGGTTAGACGAAAGTAACCGAGCGAGACGCAGCAGCAAGATATAAAGGTGTCTATATCGACTATATGTCAACGCAGTAATGCGTAAAGGAAGGTTTCAGGTGTTTTGGTCCAACCAATTCACCTTGAGAATGCAAATTGAGAAACTTCAATTGTGCATAACCTCATTGCGGAATGTCCTACGATAGCCTAACCATCGGGCGATAGTGACTTCAAAAAGGTAAGACGCATAGGCGAGATTCAGGTGTCTTGGTCCAACCAATTCGCCTTGAGAATGCAAATTGAAAAATTTCAATTGTGCACATAATCTCGCCGCGTAACGTCCTCCCAGCTAGCAAGTTGGGTCGGGGCGGTAGTGATCTTAAAATGGTAAGATGCATAAGCGAGATTCAGGTGTTTTGGTCCAACCAATTCGCCTTGAGAATGCAAATTAAAAATTTTAATTGTGCACATAACCTTGCCACGTAACGTTCTTTCAACCATCAAGCCCGTTCGAAGCGACTTTAAAAATGGGGTAAGATGCATAGGCGAGATTCAGGCGTCTTGGTCCAACCAATTCGACTTGAGAATACAAATTGAATTTCAATTGTGCACAAAACCTCACCGCGTAACGTCCTCTCAGCTATCAAGCCTGTTCGGGACTGTACTGACTGCAGCGACTTTAAAAAAGGGATTTAGTCTTGGTCTAACCAATTCGACTTGAGAAGGCAAATTGAGGAACTTCAATTGTGCACATATAATACGCATATGCAAAGCCAGGTGTTTTGGTCCAACCAGTTCACCTTGGAAATGTGTGATTGATAAAATTCAATTGCATACATAACCTTTACTCATAACATCTTGTTTCAGAATATCATCAGAAAGGTAAATGATTTCGACCAGACTGCCAATCGACAACTATTGACTAAGGATGGTATCTAAAATTTTTTAGAAATTATTGCGGAAAATATTATCCGTAAATATATTGGTTCAACCAATATATTAAAAAACAATCCGAGTATAACTCGCCTTGAAACTATTAGAAAGACTATTTTTCCTTGAATACGAATATCCTTACAGGCGATATTATGATGCCAATAGGAAAAGCTGTAGTCGTTATTATTTGGAAGGTCTTTCTTACGACAAGGATTTCTTAAAAACTAGTGCGTATCTGTTTCTTAGTACGTTTAGCAGCGATCCTTAAGATGAGGTTTAAAAAGACGCTTGTAAATCTGCTTAGCGTCGAGACGGTAAGAGTCGTGATACGAGGAGTCGCTCTCCTGTTTGATCGTAGATATGTTCAGAGATTGCATTTTGCCTGATAGAATCCTAAAACCAGCGGGTTACAAAGATCTTGTAGTCAGGCGGGAAGACGTCTTTGTAAAAGATCTTCCCTTGGAGGAGCGAAAGGTCCTGCTAAAAAAGTTATTCAGGTGTCTTGGTCCAACTAATTCGCCTTGAAAATGCAAATTAAAAAATTCCTCCGGAAAACTTATGCGGTAATAAATCCATTAAATATAAATTTGGAGGTTAAATCTGTTTTAGACAGCACTATTGTAAGAGGACGAGCGTATGGTTCAAAAACCAAAATTGTGCGGCAATCAATGAAGCACAGAACGACTGCTGCCATTGCTGGAATTGCAAGGGCCTCGAGTTCTAGAAACTCGCAAGGCTGTCTCGCCGAAATCGACAGAAGCCATACGGTCAATCGAAGGCGAGCGAGCAGAGGCAGATGTACAGTCAATAACAGAACTTGTCCTCTCAAAATCACATTACCGGTACGTTACCGGTTGGAAGCCGGAACAAGCGCCTACGAAAAGAAATTAGTTGTAAGTAATGTTGCCAATAGACTGGCACAGCCTAAATGTCAATGAGACAATTCATATATACGAAAAAACCGCAATAGCCGAGCAGGTAAAGATACAGATTCGTAACAAATAGTACAGCTATCGAGAAAGCAGGCCATTCCGAAGTATCAGCCAGTTTCAAATTAATTATTTCGAGAATTATCTTATTCCCAAACCTAATAAATTTTTTACAGGTT